CTCTACACAGTATGTTCTGTTCTTTGTAATCAGAAAAGGAGGCCGTGATTCTACACAAACAGCATTTCTTATACTCAGCAATATAATGCATCATAAAACAGTGTAATGATTTCACAATCTTTAATCAAAGGCATAAAGTGGCCTCTAGCCATATAATGATTCAACAATTCTTTGATTAGAAGTATAAGGTAGCATAAGATATATAAAAAAATATATATACAGTATTCTGTATACTGCATGTACACAGTTTAAGCAACTACACCTTGGCAAATATTCAAAGAATACAGGAAGTCAGAACAGTGGCCTTGAAGTATACAGTCACCTGTCAGTTTATTAGGTACATCTGTTTAGCTGTTTGTTAACACAAATATATATGTGTGTGTATAATAATCTCACAACAGCTTGCTGCATTTAGGTATATAGACATGTTCAAAACAACCTGCTGAAATTCTAACCGATTATCAGAATGAGGAAGAAATGTGATTAAAATGACTCTGAACATGGCTTGGTGGCTGGAGCCAGACGAGCTGGTCTGAGTATTTCAGAAAATGCTGATCTTCTGGGACTTTCCCATACAATCATCTCTAAGGTTTACAGAGAAAGGTCAGAAAAAGAGAAAATAATTCATTTAGTGGCAGTTCTCTGGGTAATATTGAGCTGATAGGAAGGCAACAGTAACTCAATCATCCACTTGTTACAAACAGGGCATGCAGAAGAGCTTTCTGAAAGCACAGCATGCCAAACCTTGAAGCAGATGGGCTGTAGCAGCAGAAGATCGCGCCAGGTGTCACTCCTCTCAGCAAAGAACAGAAAACTGAGGCTGCAATTTAAAGAGGCTCACCAAACATGGACGACAGAAGATTTGATGTAGTCTGGTCTGATTAGGCCCGATTTCTGCTGCCAAATTCAGATGGTGGGGTCACAATTTGGCATAAATAACATGACAGCATGGATCCATCCTGCCTTGTGTTAACAGTTCAGGCTGCTTTAGATGCAGTAGTGTGGGGATATTTTCTTGGCATACTTTGGAGCTCTTAGCACAAACTCGCATTGTTTAAACACAGCAGCCTATCTGAGATTGGATGCTGAACATGTCCATCCCTTTGTGACCACAGTGCACCCATCTTTGAATGGCTGCTTAAAGTGGGATAACGATCCATGTTTAAAAGCTCAAATCATCTCAAACTTATTTTATTGAACACGACAATGAGTTCACTGCAGTCATATGACCTCCACAGTCACCAGATCTCGATCCAATACAGCAGCTTTGGGATTTGATGGAACAGGAGATTGCAACAGGAACAGGATGTGCAGCCGACAAATTTCCAGCGTGTGTGTGTGTGTGTGGTGCTGTAATACTACTTCTATCACCAACGTTGCTGTTGTAAAAAAAATTCATAGTTTTCAATTCAGAATTCATTTTTCTCAAATATGTCTCTGATTCTACTCGTTTTCCTCTCACCGTCTTTTTCCTGATATCTAATATATCGAAAATAATTTTTAAAAACTCTGTAGTCTGAAAGTTTTATAAACATTCATTTGTGTTTGCGGTAAATCTTTTGTCTTCACATTCATGTATGCAGGATAATGTGTTTATAAGTGTTCACCTGTGTTTGTGTGTTTTTGTAGTGTATCACATGCAGGAGGACGGCTGGATAAAGGTGTGTAAGGAGGACGTGTCCGAGCTGATCCATCGCTACAGGAAGGGAATGTTCTGAGTTTTACTCCAATATCATCATCATCATCATCATCATCATCATCATCCAGTGATGTGTGTTCAACATGATTATTGGTTCTTGAACTTTACATTATGTAAAAGAACATCTCAATGCCCTACAAGCTCATGCAGTTTAGGATATGTTTTGTGGTTAAAAGACAAATGATTAATGTTAACTTACTTACAGAACAACAGCTCCAAATAAAGACTTTTCTTCAATTGACTCTGTTATGTAATCATCAAGTTTCAGGTACAAACTTATGTTTTGTATAACAAAATATAAAAAATAATTTCTTTAAAAATAAAACATCATGAAATGCTAAAAATATATTACCAGGTGGAAGTTCTCATTTGCTTTCCATCAGCAACAAACTAAAGAATATATCGCAGCTAAATTAGAACCTATATACTTAATATACATCTTCTTGGCCTTTTGTGCCATAATAAAGCACATAACATTGAAAAAGCTGTTAAAAAGTGCTGCTTTGCGATGTCGTCAGTTGCTGTGCAGATAGGGGACAAAACATGAATACAGTGGGACTGTAAGGGATGAGAGGATATGTTCATGTCATATTCACACAGTGAAAGGTTTAAAAAATAAAATTCTGTTTTAATAAACTTGCAGAAACATTTCCTGCAACACAAAAAAGAAAAATAAAGAAATGGAGCAGCTGAAAGTAAAAGACCAGCAAGTTTATTCCACTTAAAAAGCTGCTGAAGAAAATCATTACAAGTGTGTTCTTGTGTAAAAATGCTTCCTTTCATTTATTAATAATGAGTAACTGGTTATTATTTATTGAAAGTAGATGATTTTCACAAAACACATTTTGATGTTTGAAGAAAAAGCCCAGGTGTATCACTTACCCTGCCTTTGGACTTAAGACAGATTTTGCCGTTTTAATATCATGAGTCACTCTGATACTTTGGCTACAGTCACAGTAGGGTTAGAGAATGCCCTGTAACCAAAATTACTGCAAATACCGGTACGTCTAACCAGTTTGAGGTCTCTCTGACATTGAAATGGTTGCTTCAAAGACAGAGACCAGGTTTGAGACCTCTGCCAGTCTGTTGCCATCTTAAAAGTGACTTTGATGTCTAAACAGCCATAAAATGGTTACAAGTCAGTCTGCTATCAATTTTATGTTGAACCAAGTCAAGTTGGCACTTTGTATCAATCTTTGCAGCATTCACGTGATTAGCTGTGATGAATCTCAAATCTGTTGGCTTCTCCATCAGACCTGTGATGTCTTACCTGAGCTAACAGGTGAATCCACCTCTGATGGACCACAACGAATGCAGCAGCATTCTAACAACAGCAGCTCAAAAATGACAGAGCAAGTGATATAGTCACAAAATAATTTAGTGTAAGGTTCTATGCATGTATTTTTCTCTTTCTCTCTGACAACAATGAGAGGACGCTGAAGAAGTACGACTGTGTTTATCATAAAAGAGTGAATTCTTCTGATAGAAATGACTGGGGACTGTGTGGTCCTAAGGTGGAGTGCAGGATTTATGCAGAGTTGTTTTACTGCAAACTATTCATCCGTATAAACCAGCTGACATGTGAGATGGGTAGTATATGTTCAGACATTGCAATAGACTATTCTAACACAGTCTCGGCTACGTTTCAATGTTATGTAATTGCAACTGTTGGGGAAAGTAAAAGAAAGAAACACGACTGTTGCTCTGTGTGAACTCCTGAGAAAAAAGGCAGAGATGTTTTTATTGTGCACCAGTCTATGTGTAGAAGTGTGAATCAATGTTTCAATAAAATAAAATCAACAAAGTCCTCGCATTATTCTAGAGCAGGTTTCTATTGGGGCTCAGCTCTAAAATTGAAAATGGTGCAGAAGGAGCTGAAAGCCATGATTGCAGAGGGAAAAGAGTCTTACAGGAGGCTGGAAATCAAACTGCAGGAAAACAACACCAGGGAGGTGTAGAATGGGATGTGGGCCATTACTGGCCTGAAACAAAACAGAGGTGTTGGGATGGATGGGGACGTTGAAAGTGCAAACAACATAATTCTACATTTCAATAGATTCGACTGCCTCGCCCAGCTTTTCTCATCTTCTCCATCGACTCCATTCTCCTCCCCCCTCTCCTGCCCCCTCAGCCTGTCTTACCCTGTCCCTCTCAGAAGATAACATCAAAAGGGAATTGGGCAGACTCCACTCCAGTAAAGCTGCTGGCCCGGATGGTGTCAGTCCCAGGGTCCTCAGGTGTGGTGGACAGCTTTGTTGAGTGGTGTGAGCTTAACCATCTACAACTTAACATCACAAAGACAAAAGAACTGATTATGGACTTTAGGAAGCAGGCTCCTCCTCCTACCCCTGTCACCATCAGAGGGGCTGATGTAGAGATCGTGGAGGACTACCGGTACCTGGAGGTATACTTGGACTGTAAAATGGACTGGACCAAGAACACCAATGCTGTCTTTAAAAAAGGGCAGAGTCGGCTTTTCCTACTGAGGCGGCTCAGGTCCTTTAATGTTTGTAGGAAAATGCTGACAATGTTCTATCACTCTGTGGTAGAGAGCGCTGTGTTCTTTGCAGCTGTGTGCTGGGGCAGTGGTGAAGACAGCTGATGCCAACAGGCTGAACAAACTGATTAAAAAGGCTGGTTCTGTCCTGGGTGTCAGACTGAAGAACCTAGAAGAGGTGTCTGAGAGGAGAATGCTAAAAAAGCTTCTTTGTATCATGGACAACCCCTCCCAGCCCATGCACGCCTCCATGATGGACCATCGAAGCAAACACAGCAAAAGACTCATTGCCCCGAAATGCAGAACTGACAGCCACGTAAATCCTTTGTGCTGGTGGCAATAAAACTGTACAACTCTTCCTCACTCTGTAGGTGATTTTCCTGAGGATTAATAACAAAGCTATTCTGTTCCCATTCAGACCGTGCAATATCACCCAAAAGTTTTTCATTGAATGTTTGTTTCATCTCCCCATCATGATGCTGCTACTCTTTTATCCATTTGCACAATACTATGTCACTTTTAGAATCACCTGCACTGATAGCTAAGCTATTTGTTTTTCAGGATATAGTTATTTTGTTACTTGCTACAGTTATTTGATATTATGTTTTGCACTATCCTACTGTATATTACTGTATACAATATATTCTATTGTATACTGTATATTGTATATCTTATTCATCTGTTCCTCTGTCTCTCTTGCTGCATTGAGCATGTGTATGACAAAATAATTTCCCTCGGGATAAATAAAGTTCTTCTTATCTTATCTTAACTTGATCTATAAATATAGACCTGAATATATTCATCTCTGTAAGTGCGATGAGTAAATCTAGTTATTAAACTTTTTTTCTTTAAGAGAGGGCATCAAATACACATGTTTTCACTGTGCTTTGTAGTACTAGCTGTTAAAAGAGCACACGGACAGGGAGGGCTCTCATAGTTTGAGGAGTGTGTTTTTACTTTGTCTTGTGTGTATTTTTCTAAGGACATCTGCATCAATTAGATTTTGCTAACACAAAACTTTGTGTGAAGTTCTGCAAAGTCTGCAAGCTGTCTTGGTTGATTTCAAAAGCTCTACATGCTTCACTTGTCAGAAGACTGTAAATTCGGCTCATTAGATTCTATCTCAGCACGGTGTGCAGTGGGTCCTAAAAACTATGAACAAGTGGAGGACAAAAGAAGAAATGTTGGGCTTAAAAAAACTTTCTAAAGCAAATGAACAGAATTTGAAAACTGTGTCCTTAAGAAACAGGGAAAAAAACCAGCAACATAAGAGATGCACCTGGTTCTTCAGTTGATCCATCTACTGTTTACTGAAGTCTCAAACACACTGCCAATGCAGTAAAAGCATACCTGTATAGAAAAACACACACTATCATTAATGAGGTGGTTCAAGACTTTAGGAAAAATACTGTAAAATACATTTTATTCATGTCTTTGCAGCATCCAACGATGTGAACAAGGTGATAGAGATCAACCCGTACCTGCTGGGCACCATGTCAGGCAGCGCTGCAGACTGTCAGTACTGGGAGAGACTCTTGGCCAAAGAGTGCAGGTCTGTCCTACATATTATCTCCTAGCCTCCATTTATTTCATGATTTTTCTCAGCTTTGATGATGTATTGTAATCTGACTGCATGCTATGAAACATACTAAAGTATTTTATCTAGTTTCTCTTTTAGTATTTTATGACTTGGTACAAAGGAAGAAGAAAATTTAAAAGTGAAATGAAAATGAGAAAGCTGATTGATTTTGTTTGAGTGAAGCAAAGAGCTCAAGGTAATACAAACCAGAGTTTATCAGTAAAAGGTGAAACACAAACAAACCTCCAGTTTGGTTGAAGTGCTGCTTTACAATTTCTGTTTCAAATTATTTTTGTTTGTATTCTGTTTTGCAAAATATATTTATTCTATTTTGAATAAATAAACTTGCTAAATATCATATACAAGAAGACATAGAGCAGATTTAGGTTCTAAACAGCACACAACATCAGGTAGGTGCAAGGTAAATAAAACATATTACCAGTTTGTGGTAAGTGGAGCCTATATATAAAATAAACTGTTCAATTCCAAGGCCCAAACTATAAAATAGATTTTTTTATACTTTAAGATAAACGCGATATCAAATTATGATTTAAGTTAAGAAGGTTCTTGTAACGGCCTGGGTCTGACCACAGTTCCTGGGAATGTACATAGTTCTTGTTTCACGGTTCACTGTAAATAAAACTCACTCTTCATCTGCACCAGAGTCCTGCGTTTGGGTCCCACTTCCCCACAAGTCCACGGTCTGCCACCGCAGTACGTGACAGTTCTAAAGAATTGTGTGTCCATAAAACAGGGGTGTCAAACTCAATTGCACACTTTAGGTCGCAGGCCAGAAAAGATAAACATTTATTGAACACACTAAAACAATATTTTTTAAACATAAATGTGAATAAAAACATGGCATCATACATGCCATGTCCATGAACTGAGATTTCCTTGCTGAGCTCAAAGGCTATTGAGAACTTTTACCCAACTCAGCCAGCGGACCTCTGTATGATAAGATAAGATAAGATAAGATAAGATAAAATAACCTTTATTAGTCCCAAGCGTGGGGAATTTGTTATTTGTTAAGGAATGTTGGCAAAATCTGAATCTATTTCCCACGTGAAGGACTGAAATTGACGGTGATTTAAACCTTTAGCTCGAAAAAATTTACAGTTTGCGTTACAGTGCTCATTACATGCTCCGTTTTCAGGACTTTACCACACAGCCTTTCCTGGTGTATGATGCAGTGATATGCTGTTAACTCACCGGTACAGTTCTCCTCCTGCATCTTTACTCGCATCCTGCCGACTAGTCCACTTTTTTCACCACACATTGCCAACAGGTGTCGTGCCAAAGTAGTTACCCCAGGCAAAAACTGTTTCCCCATCTACGAGAGCGCGCAAAGTAGGAGGAGCCACTTACCCAGGTTCGTTTCTGTACACTACTTGTCACTGATCTGCAGTCGTTGCAATAAAGCGTAAAAGCTGAAAAATAACAGACTTGATTTGTGAATGGATCTTAATACTAATTTCATGACATTGTAATGTGCCGTGCGGAAGACTATTTACCTTAAACTGTACACTGAAATAACCTGCTGGGAATAGTTTGTCCAGACAAAGACTTTGACACTGTAATACTGTAAAACCAGATGGGATCATGTCAACACATCGCTCTCCGGTGAATTTACCCTGGGTTTACACTTCTGTAATGCACACTAGCGGTGCTATCACGAAGGAGCTTTTTAAGGAAAACTGTGAGGAAGGTCCAAGCCCAGCTAAGAATGATATTCAATATGTTTTGGACCTGAGAGCAAAGCTTCACACTTTGGGGAAAATATTTGGTCCAGGCCCAGGAACATCAGCAGCACCTGTACAACTGAGCAGCTAGCCTGAGGCAATTGTCATTGGGAGACAAAGTGCTTGTATTGTTCCCTTCTTCCAGCTCAAAGCTGCTCGCCAAGTGGCAAGGACCCTGCGTGGTTACATGGCGAGTGGGGGACGTTGACTATGAAGTGTTAAGGTCTGACACAGGAGGAGCCACACAGCTATATCACCTCAACCTCTGAAAGACTGGGAAGGTGCAACATTCCACAATTCCCACCTCCCTCTATTATGATGACAATCTCACACAGGCCCAGAGAGCCTATGTTGCTGCATTGCAACAGCATTTTGTAGATGTGTTCTCCACCTTGCCCAGCCGCATATTCAAATTCAAATTTTATTTGTCACACAAACACACACACACAACCATACATCTCTCATAGAGCATCATTTTGAAATGTGCCCAGGAGTCACAGTGCATTTACAGCCCTAGAGGAAGCTGACCTTAAAAGACACATTGTTAAAAGGTAATTGGCTGAAATGCTAAAAATGTTAGTAATAGAAGAGTCACACAGCGCGTGGTGTAGCCCCATAGTTCTTGTGGTGAAGAAAGATTGGTCTATACAGTTCTTTGCAAGTTTCAGCGCAAGGTGAATGCAGTGTCACGATATGCGAGTCCCTGACGCAGACATTGCTCCACCCTCCCAGAAGAAGCGTGCGGTTGGACGGAGGTAGGCAGAGTATCTGGAGTACCACTTGGGAGGTGGGCAGGCGGACCCTCAGATGGATAAAACAGCTGCCATAGCATCCTGCCCGCCTCCCAGGGCCATAAAGGAGGTGAGTCAGTTCTTGGGGTTGGCTGGTTAATACCCCCAGTTTGTGCCAGGCTTTGGAGAGCTGACTAACCGCTTAACTGATCTCACCCGAAAGGGTGCCCCAGATCTGGTCGGGTGGACGGAGCACTGCCAGGCGGCGTTCATGCAGTTGAAGGCAGCCCTGTGTAGTGTGTGTAAAGCCCCTCTACACATCTAACTTTTTCCTCCCTTTCATTCTACAGACTAGTAGGAGTAGGCTAGCTCCGACTGCTGGGGTCTAAGTCCGGCGCTGGGAGTATGTGGTGAGGTGTGGTTTATGGCTCAGCTGCAGGGGAGGGGTGACCCATATGACTGATCCCCATCATCTATTCATGCCTCTCCTTTCTAGTAACCCAGGTCCTGCTGGGTGTGTGGTGTGTGCTGCATACTGTGCTAGAAACATCAGCTGCAAAGCTGCACAGCCAAGAGTGGAGACAAAAAAAAAAAACTATAAACATTGAACCATCTTGCAACGCTGTGTGCATTGGGTCCTCTGTCACAGGATACTTGATGAACCTGAGCTCTCACTATGACACCTAAGTGTACTGAGCTACTATTACAAGTTGTATTGTACCGAGTCCATTAATATTTAGGCAGTATTCATGAAACTGTACCTAAGTGTGCATTTTATGACAAAGTCACAGAAATTTGGATTGTTTGGGACTTTATTGACAACCAAAGTATGAAAAGGAGAGAAAGAGCAATGCTGTTTTACTGATACATATTCTACTAATTAATTTTTTAAAGTTTACAGACAAATGAGGAAAACCTTGAAAAATCCTAAACTATAAGCAGAAACACATCCACCAATGTGTTAAAAACATAACCCACACAACCCTCCAGAATCTCAACTTGAACTAAACTCTAAAATCAAAAAACTCAAAATATATCTTAAATCAAACAACAGAGAATAAACATCATCTTCATTAATTAAGAAAAAAATTCAGACATAAAGAAAAATCTGTTACGGTCTCCTGGAATTCATCATTGATATTTTTTAAATCAAATTTTAAGAAATACACAAGTAAACATGTACAAAATTTAGAAATATATTATTATGATTCCTTTATCACTGAGAGTGAGGGAAGCTCAGCATTCATGAGTGATGCAACAATTTACAAGAAAACCCCACACCAGAAACACTAAATTAATATATGTTTGAGTGAAGATGAACACACAAAGGTTTAATTATGATTGTATTGAGACTGCTGTGATGCTTTCATTGTTTCATGTTGTTTTTATTGTGTTTTACATCTCTCCAGGTGGTCACATCTTTGTTAGATCTTTTTTTTAAGTGACTTTTTTTTAACTGAAAACAACATATTCAGAATAATTTAATGCCACCATTATGATGTATATGTTACAAATTTGCCAACTCATTTTCAAACTTCTTTACCTTTTTGATTAATAAGCATCTGCAACTATATTTTAGATCTTTTTAACAGATTTTATGATGTGGATATGGAGAAGAACGAGCTGACACGTCTTCTCTCAGGTTCTCTTTATCCATCTATCCATAAACCTGAAGATATAAAAAGAAACAAAATAAATGTTAGGATTGTTCAGATCCACAAATAACCTTTTTACAGTTTCATTAAGATCTAAAATTCTGATTCAATCGAGTATTTACTTCATATGTTTCTGAATGGAATTAACACATTTGTTTTAATTTTGTTAAATCATTTCATGAAATGTTACTTTAAAAGCATCTTTTTCTTAATATGATTTAAAAGTTATATGAAAGCACTTTTTTGGTTCTATTTAAACAGGAGATTTTACTATATCCACTATTTTACATAAGTTTTAAAAGAAAGCTAAAACATGAGACACAAATATGAAGTAACTCACTGTGTGCAGAGCTGTTTGTGGTTTAGTCTTGAGGCAGCATTGGCTTCTGGCTCTCTACAGCTGTAGGTCAGAAACACAATGTTAGTCCACATCCTGCTCTCATCTGTCACTTTTACAACAATCGAACACAACAGGAAACAGCCCTGAAAGACTGTTTAGATTAAAGTACAGAAACCCTTTTTAATTTAGTGTGAACAAGAGATTAGAGAAAAGGGACAAAGTTTAACTTACGAGATGGTGGACGTTTCTCTGAAATAAAAAGGAAAAAATACATCATGTTAGTAATTTGTTATAAATGTTAACACTTCAAGTATTATGTAAGGCATGAACATAATTTCATATTTTCATTTTGCAATCAGGAAAAAAGCATTAATTTAATTTGTAAAATTAAACCACTTAAACATAGACACCGGGCTTACTCATATGTTTATAGATATGTTCTGACTTTGCCCACAAAATGTGCTCATGTAAAATGATATTATTGAATCAGAATCATTTTATACTCGTAGGCAGTTTTTATAATGAGCTTAGTGACAAAATCAATTTGTGGTTAATAAAATAAAGGAAATGCTGTTCTAAAAGAGAAACCTGGCTGCTAAGAAAGAAAAAAAAATTTTGTGAGCAAAGCAACTGAAACAATTGTGTCCGAGGAGGAAGCTGGAGAAGGCGCACCTTCCTAATGTAGGTAAAGGTGTGCTTAGGTTATGTTTGTTTGGCAGAAAGAAAGATGATGCAGAAAAAAGTAAATAACAGACAAGAAGAAAAAGTGAAGTAACTGGACAAAAATCTACAAGTGCAGAGAAATGAAGGGGCAAGTTATGAAACACAACAAGCATGATTAATAATTAACAGTTTAATATATTGAGGATTTAAAAGAGTCTGATCATCCTGCTGGCAGAGAAAGTGTTAAAATACTTTAATATTAACCTGAGGACTCAACTTACACTGCTTTTGGTTGTTACCTGTTTAATCCTGTGTGCATTGTTTGTTTTCTCTTGAAATAATGTTAATAATGACTTCAATTAAGTCATATTACTCTTACTATCATTATTATTGTTTGCACTATGTCATCATCATTGTTGTTGCATTATACAAGAAAAATCCAGGAAGTTTGTTTCTCACCTGTCCTCTTTTTGTAAATAATGAATGCGATCACAGCGATGGCAGCAAGAACAACCACAGCAGCAACCACAGCAGCAACCACAGTGATGATCAGGGAGAAGGAATTTCCTGTGGATCACAGAACAAACAAAAGGTGAGAACAAAAAGTTTCCAATCAGATAACAATCATGTACAACAGCTTCGTTTATGGTCACTACATGTTTGTCTCACTAATTTTTGTTTTCATTCCAACAATAAAAATTCGGACATTAAATTTAATTTGGATACATTGCCAATAAATTTGAACATAGCAATGTTTTCAAATATACATGTTTTCCCCCATTTAACTATGTAATCTTCTAAAACTGTCCAATCGTCAGGTAACTACAGAGATTATAATTGCTTAACAATAGCAACACATGAACAAGTTTTATATTCATCAATGTTCAACGAGAAAAAAATGTGGTGGAAAAACACAACTTGGTCTAAACTGATTTAGGTCTTAAAATTATTCTGACAGAAGCTGACAGAAAGAATATCAAAGCAAACAAACTTTCTCATCCAACATGAACCACAGGGTATTGCAGTAATTCAAGTGTGTGTTTCCCATGTTCATCACTCATCTGATCCTGATTCCAG